GAAAGAGAAAATAGTAGGGAAGAGGAAAATGAGATGTCTCCTGCAAGTCTTTGTGGGTCCCCTGCTTTTCAATATATCTAATTGTCAGCCTGGCCATCAATACCAAGGACATTCTGAAGAAGAAGAGAAGAGGATTGGATTTATACCCCGCCCTTCACTACCCAAAGGTGTCTCAGAGTGGCTTACAAACTCCTTTCCCTTCCCCTCCCCACAACAGACACCCTGTGAGCAATGTTCCCTCTAAACTGAGTTAGTGTGAGCTAGCTCACAGTTTTTTAGCCTCTGGCTCACACATTTTTGTCTTAGCTCAGGAAGGATGGCTCCAGAGCAGACTAATCTATGCAGTAGTCAAATTGCTCGCTCACAACTTTAATGCCAGTAGCTCACAAAGTAGAATTTTTGCTCACAAGACCCCACAGCTTAGAGGGAATGTTGCCTGAGAGAGCTCTTGACAGAAACTGCTCTTTTTCAAGAACAGCTCTTATCAGCACTATGCAGAATAGTGCTGTTTCTTTGGGACTGTATTATTTTTTTAAAAGGAAAAAAGAATATTCATTGAGCTTTGATATTCTACTATAAAGGAAAACTCTCCAATCCCATGGGTTATTCCTTAAAACAGCGTATATCCAGTAAATTTTACAACTGTATTTCCCCAAGGAATGCAAAATGTTGATGATTTGGTTCTGTTCAGTTTAAGTAGCCCTGCTTCTTCTTCTTCTTGCTCTTCTGGAAGAAGTCAAGGCTGGCTGTGCTGGAGTTATCTCCCAAAGCTGCTAATAAAAATAGCTGAAGTTATCTTCCATGGCTGCAAGGCAAGAAACAATGCCAAGGCAAGTTGAGGTCACTACAAGCCTTTATAAGAGCCCACACTTTGGAAGCTCCAGGAAGATTGCTTAACCCCATCTGTTGAGCCTGGATCTTAACCAAGCACCAGGCAAACCAGGAGGTAACTATGGTTCTTCTGGTTGCCTTGCTCCTGCTGCTGGCTCTCCTGTCTTTCTGGAAGGTAGCAAAGGGGAAGCTGGAACCCCAGTTCAACTACCCCAAGAGCCTGCCTTCACTGCCAGTCATTGGCAGTCTTTTGCATCTTATTGGACACCCCCAGCTCCACCTCTTTTTCTGCAGACTGCAACAGAAGTATGGCACTGTCTATGCTCTCTATATGGGCTCCCACTATGTGGTGGTGGTCAACAACTACATCCATGCCAAGGAAGTGCTGCTTAAGAAAGGAAAGATCTTTGCTGGGAGGCCCCATACGGTAAGCAAACTCTGAGTATCTGTCTAGGTCATGAAATGTAGTGGTTGGAGCAAAAGCCATGAAGAAACAAGAACAGAAAATGTGGTTCCACTCATAGGGCAAGGCCAGAATTATGAAACAAATGAAAAAAACCAAAACCTATGTTTTGCTTTTGGGTAGGAAGGGCCAAAGGGTGTGAAGGAGTGGTGAAGACCAATATCAGAAGAATGAAGATGCATATACATATACATAAATTACAGAATGGGGTTAAATAAAACATTAACCCATGTTATAGGACTTTACAGGGCAATCTTATGCAGAGTTACTGAAGTCTAGGCCGACTGATTTTAATTAGCTTAGATCATAATAGCTTGGCACAGAATTGCACTATTAATCACTATGAGTGCAGTCCACATTCAGCTCCAGTAATATGCAACTAGTTCCATGCTACAACTAGAGGCAACGTCAAAAGACCCATCTTGCCAATGCAACGAGGCCCCAATAAGCACCACTAAGCGAATTCAGTTGTTTCTGCATCACCTGCATATGTGGAAACCTGCTTCCAAGTTAAGATGTTCTTTGCTGGACATGACACTTTATCACAAACCCTCTTTCAATGCTGAGAACAGCTCCTTTTCTAATAGTACAGGTCTTCCCCCTTCCTGTTTTGAAACGTATAGCTTGTACTTCAATGTCAAGGAAGATATTTTTATAAATATGAGTAATAGATCAGAACAGGTTCACAGAAATCTATAATGTAAAAAACTGTGATCTATGAAAAAATACTTAAGCAGCAAATATAATTTTTTTAAAAAAAAGAATACAGAGAAAGCAGAATTTCTTAACAGTATATATGTAATTATGGAACACTCTGTTATTATGAGAGGATGCTCAGTTCCCTGGACTTTGTATTTTATACATCCCCTATGAGAGTGCAATCCTATGCAGTGTTACTATGGTCTAAGCAAAATGAAAAAATCAGTGGGCCTTTAATTGGAATAACTCTGCATAAAAGTGAACTGTGAACCACTTCAGTGTGACTTCCAAGAAGAACTTCATGCATGAAGTTGTCCTGCAGAAATATAATTTTTGGATTGGGGAGGGGAAATGTACAAAAAGGACCTGTTACATGCAGCTACCAGAATAATTACTTGTGCCACACTTCACAAGTGATTGTGCACAGAATTTGAATGGTCTAGAGATAACACTTCCTGATTGATAGGGAGCACATGTTGTTTCACATATACCATAAAAATGTATGCCATTTGTGTCACTGATAATTAATACATGCTTGCCAGTTCTGTGTACTGCATGGTAGTTTACCTTCCTTTTCTCTTTCAATGGTGTATTCATACCTTTTGTTGTCCCTCCTTTCTCTTGCTGGGGCCTCATTTAGTATGTTTTTCTTTTGTCCGTTATAGAATAATTATTGAATTGGGGTGTACATATTTTTTTAAAAAAATCTAACAGTAAGAACTGTTTTGCCATATTAGCAAGGCAAAGTTGAGTGTGGAATGTACAGGGCTGGTTCATTTTGCAAACATAAGATTAGATGAACATCTTCCAGAGATGCTTGAAAGTCCTCTCAGTCATGTGCAAGATTAGATGATCTCCAAGGGTGTTTTCCAGTTCAATGGCCCTAAGATACTGTACTTCTTAAATTGCACCCATGTTCGTGTTTAGTATCGCTTAGCATAATTCCTGGCATTCTAGGAGCAAGGTCCATATTCTCTACAAACATTGCCTTTGTTCAAATGTTTGTCTTTGGCACTTAAAATGACTTTCAGCTCTTCTATCACTTGGTATGCACATGTTACAAACAGGCAATTTTAAATGCATTTGTATCAGCTTTTCTGAGTTAATTAATGGCCTTGTAGGAAGTTTTTAAAATCACATTATCAGCCCTCCTGTGCTTCACAATGCACATGTGATTTTGGTCTCTGTGTTTCATTTGTGAAATGGTACCTGGTAGAGTGCAGATACAAGCCCAAAAGTTTTCTTTGTTTGCAATTTAGACCTAAAGATCACCTTTGCCCTTCTGCACTTCATCTACTATCTGCTTTGGAAGGAACACACACACACGGCTAATAGGGGAGCATAGGTATAAACCCTGCACTGGTTTACAGGAAAACCACTTTGGGTTATGGGTGCATTCTTACATAACCCCATGAGTCTTTAGGCCCAAATCAAATGAAACACTGGAAGATCCATAACTGAATCTCTAACCTGTTTTTCTTGTGTAAAACTGCTGTGAAAGACTCTGGACTGAGACAGCAGAGTAGGAGGAAAGAATTTACTCTCCCTTCCCATAGCATCTTCCTGACCTTAAATGGTCCTTCAAAGTTGATATTTGTTCCACTGGTGACAACATACTGACACCAGGTCCAGGTTTTGGGGAGTCTGGGCAGAGAGTTTCCAGTGCCCCTCCCCGTCTCCGTCCAACTTCAGCTGCCCCCCATGCCCTCCTTCCCTTCCATCTACCTGCATTACCCCCACCTGCTAGTGTGTCCTTCCCCTGTCTGCTCAGGAGTCCTCTCACCGACCATGCTGACAGCTGCCTGAAGCCCTTTCCCTGATGGCCCTGGGCAGTTCATGCAGCTGGGAATTTCAGCAGGATATCATGCCACCTTCCAAAACAACCATTTTCTCCAGGGGAACTGATCTTTGTAGTATGAAGATCAGCTGGAATTCCAGGAGCTCTCCAGGCCCCACCTGGAGGTTGCCAACCTTAAAGTGAGTGGACCAGGGGGGGTCAACAGCTGTGGGTCCCGCTAGATGCCCTGGGCCCTGGGAGCTGTCCCAGCTTAGGGGAGGCTGATGCCATGAGAAATATAGCCATCCCGTGGGGGCATTTTGTGATTGGATTGTCTGTAAAAACTGAGTGACTGAGTCATTTCAATTCCAGAGTAAAAGGATAAACAAATGAAGTATAGTCAATATGGATCAGAATCAAGATCCCACATCTTCTCTGAAAGAATGGTGTTTTTTCCCCCCCATGCTGCTGGCTGAGTTTTTCAATGCTGAACATACAAAGACTTCTTTAAATATATTATGGACAACAAATCTCCATTTATATTGGTATTATAAGTAGCTTTTAGGTATGGCATGGATTTTTCAAAGGCTAATTTAATCCACTGCATATTTGTTACTATTGCAATGGGGAGATTGTGTGTGTTCTCCTCCAGAGTATACTCAAACAATGTGATAGCCCAGCCTATTGTATCATGAGGTATTTTAGAAAAGGGAATGCGATGTTCTGAAGCCTTTTTTTTTCACTCCCTGATCCAAGGTCACCACAGACTTGCTGACAAGGAATGGGAAAGACATTGCCTTTGCTTCTTATAGCCCTGTCTGGAAATTTCAGCGCAAGTTAGTGCATTCTGCACTTTCCATGTTCGGGGAAGGCACTCTGCTCCTGGAAAGCATCAGTAAGTTCCCCCACAGCAGTGCTGGGTTAACTCCTACGACAACAGTAACAAGAGTGTGTGGGGGGGAGGAGATGGGAAGAAGATCCTGGTAATGATACTTGTTGCCAAACATAAAGGTAATGAGGTAATAACTGTACTGCAAATTAACTTATTTTTGAGTAAAAATAGATACGTTTTAAGGGGTTTCAGAACATATTTGCTGCATTATGAGTAATTTGTTTTCCACATAGGTTCTAGGTAAGTGAATGTCAGTTACTTCAGATTTCATACCAAACCATAGTTTGGCACTATGTGAATGATCCAATGCCAGTCAGTGCTAGTCAATCTCTTCCCCTCACATGCTCAGACTCAATGAATTATTTACTGATTTAGTACATAGTTGGAAATTACATCAAAAACAGCAAAATTATAGTTTGCAGTTCAGACCATGGCTTGACATAACGGTTTAGAAGTGAAGAACAAATCACAGTTTGCCAGTATAGTAGCAGTCACTGATTAGCCTGTAAGCGCATGTGTCAAGGAGGAAGGCATGAACATGTAAGCATAGGTCTCGTTCATGTCCTGCCAAACTATGGTTTAGCTCTGAACCAAGCTCAACAAGTCAGTTATACCACAACTTTAAAATGTATATTTGTTTTCACTGTTTGATACAGTATTGTTTACATTGTTTAGAGTACAGTTGCAGAACTAAGGGAATTACAAAACAGGAAAAGAGCAACAGGACTCTTCTTGGGGGAAAAGGCATCACTTTCATTAAGTCTACACACTTAATGATTTCTGATAGAAATATACATAATTGCAACTTTAATAGTAAATGTTTTAAATTTTTTATATTCTCATTGCAGACACTATTAGGATTAACCTGGTGAATGTTCATAATTTCATAATTGTGTGATGGGGTGGGGGACACATTCACATTTTAATTTTTTTTTAAAGCCAAAAAGTTCTAGGAATGTTGTGAAAAGATATAATAATCCAGGTAGAGCCTTCCTGCTGTAGCTGTAATTATTAATACCATTTATGCATGACTGTTGTGCTTTATTAGACCTAATAAGAACAGAAGAAGGTCTAATCCATTAAATACCAAGAAATAACTTTATTTGCTTATTATGAGTTTATGGTACTATTTTTTTCTCTTTGGTTTTTCTTTGTTAATTGTATAGTTGTAGAGCTAGATTGATATAGCATAATAAAACACTACTTCATAGCATAATGACTTTCTTGACAGAACTATAAAATATAATGTGAAGAATTTTTAACAAACTATAAAGACTGTTTAAAAGTACCCCCCCCCCACAGGAATGTCAAATAGAACAGGTTGCTTCAATCTACAGGAAAAGCATGATAAGTGGATTGAAGGGGTACTAGAGATACTACTGGACAATGTTGCTCCCAAACATGCCATGATAATATTCCTCACAATGAATTGAACCCGCCTTTGGGTCAGATAGGCAGAAAACACTTTGTCGTTATTATTTGAGGGGATTTTTCTGTATAAGAATTTCAGTCTTCTGAGCCCGTATCAGAATGGATCTTACTCAACATGCGGGGCAGATGCAAAAGGCCTTATAACTGAATTTTAATTAGAAAAGTCCAGTTTCTGATGTAGGTTCTGTAAACTCTGAATGAAATTTTGGTCATCTTTTTTTCTGAGTATACTAATGAAATTCAATAGAAACATTACCAATAAAATTGAAGCCTGTTTTTGCACCAATTGCATTAATTGGTATAAAAATGATATCTAACATATAAATGGTGTCAAAATCACATATAAATTGCTAAAATGACACAGAATCCTGCAAAAGGAACCAACTGGGAACACTAACAATTAAGGGTGAAAAAAATGCCACTATGCAGAAACAAGAAAAAGGGCATACTTATACATCACAACCGGAGAGTGGAGTAAGAAGGGGGGCGGGTAGACAGAATCATAATAAACCAAGAGAAGCATTCTTGTTCTTCACTGCCACTTAGTGGTAACTCAGCAGTTAGTTACAAACTGGCCATAGAAATATATTTTTGGGATTGATTCTCTTGATATTTTGCAAGCTCTCAAATTCTACAGAACTTGTCAGGAACAATGGAACAGCTGTACAGACAGAGTACATGGATTATTTATTTAGATAATTTATTATCTAAATTTATTTTTTTAGGAATAATTTATTTAGATAATAGCATAATTACAAAAATTATATAATTTTGTAAGCATATGATTCAGGTGAGTAACCGTGTTGGTCTGATGCAGCAGAACAAAATTTGAGTCCAATGGCACCTTTAAGACCAACAAAGTTTTATTCAAGGTATAAGCTTTTGTGTGTATGCGAAAGCTTATCCCTTGAATAAAACTTTGTTGGTCTTAAAGGTGCCACTGGATACAAACTTTGTTCTTAAGCATATAAAACACTGTAATTTTCAGGTGTGTCTGAAGTCCATGTTCTGGTTCATAAGATCCATGTGATCTTATGAACTGTTAAATTTCATAATATTTGGTTAATATTTGGACATCTGTTATATAGTAATAGATTTGGTCACTATAATGCATGCATTGGTTACATACATCCAGATCACACTATCATAATGTTCTACATGTGCTGCCCCTGAAAAGTGTTTGGGAACTTCTGTTGGGGCGACCGCTAGCCTTCACTAGCTTCCAGTTTATTTCTGAGTCCAGCTCTACAGGTTAATCTTGGGTTGGGACCAAAATTCCTCAAGATAGTTAGTTCACTTAGGTGAGACGTTACTATTTTCTCTGTCTGAGGTCCAATGTCCAATTTAGGTAGTGGCACTCCAGGCTATGGAATTCTGTACCTTGGGAGAGCATCGTATCCTCTTTCTGTTCACTTTAAGGAGACAGTTTAAGACTTAGTAAATATGAGTAGTCCTATGCACACTTGAGTAAGCCTTGTTGAATTCAGGGAAACTTAGTCCTGAGCAAATAGGGGATTAATCTTCTAAAAAATAACCACAATCTGCCTACAGATGGTTGTACACATCATAAAACCACATTCAAAACCCTCCATATTTGGCTGATCTACTCCCAACTATAGAAATCAAACAGATTCCAAAGGGCTTGAACTAAATTGGGTTGCATTTCAGCCTGGTTTGCATCTCTTTCGCTTTAAGATCCCAGTATGAGAATTTTTTTCATAGCACATCTCAAACTAGCGCTTCATTCAATTTAGAAGCATGGAAAACTGAAATGGATTAAAAAGAACAAGTTTAGTTAAAATATATATTTATTTACTTTTACATTATAATCTTTCCACCAATAGATTCCTGAGGTGGTTTGACTAGGGAGAAAATAAAATATAATAAATAAAAACAGTAAAATATACTAAAGCACATACCAAAAAATAAGCACAAAAAAAGTGGTAATATTCTTCTACTGGTATCAGCCTTGCTTTAGACAAAAGCACTGCCTTTAGCAGAATGAGTCATAGGATTCATCCTATTTGCTTTGACCTATCAGCATTATTAATTTCTTTTTACATTTAGGCAACTGAGATAGTGACTTCCTCAAGGCCATACAATATAGAAGCATGGCATCAACCCTCCCAGATTTAAAACCAATGTACTACCCAATCCACTGGCTCATTCTGGATTTTCTGTCAGTACTCTTCTATCTCCCTCCCCCCTGCTCATAACGGGTTCCTCATCCCTTCATGTATCCCTTCTTCTCTGCTTTTCTTCCAGTCTGTCAAGAAGCAGCATCCCTATGCAAAACACTGACTCTGGAGCAGGATACTCCCCTGGACATGGCACCTGAATTGACACGTGCTGTTACTAATGTGGTGTGTTCCCTTTGCTTCAATTCATCCTACCATCGTGGAGACCCCGAGTTTGAGGCCATGCTCCAATACAGTCAAGGCATTGTAGACACCGTGGCCAAGGAGAGCCTTGTGGATATCTTCCCATGGCTTCAGGTGAGAGATGGGCATGGGGAAACAAAGAACACATGATGTAATCATCCACAGGCAAGGCTTCCAAAATTTGGCAGGAAAGCCAGGAGACTGTGACCACCACCTACAGAATTCTAAGTGTTATATGTGGTCCTTAATCTACTTTCGCTCCACTGTTTTAAAATTATCAACTGGTTAAAGGATCATACTGTATTAATTCTTCTGATTTATATGCTTCATTCAAAAAATTAGAGAAGGAAAGATGAATGCTCTTTTAGACATAAAAAACTGGCTTTAATTTGGCAACAGGTACTATATCCCATATTGCCTAGTGCTCCATAGGGAGGTGGCTCTTCAGATTCCTTTTGTAGAAACCAGAACACACTGGCCAAATGGGCGAAATCATAATTGTCTATTTTAAATAACCCTTATTAATGCAAAGATTTTGTATATATGCCTGTGCATGCACAGAATATGCATTTGGGGGGTGAAAAATTAGGAAATAGGCCTATAAATTTGCTGGAGTAGAAGTCATAAAGAAGTATATAGGGACTAAGAAACACATCGGGGTATCTTGCAGGAGGCATGAAACCGCAACTCCTCTAATCAGACAGAGACACCTCCGTTGGTGCTATAAAATTACAGTCCTTATTTAATAATAATTATCAGTCTGTCTCTGTCTGATATTAAATTGGCTGGCCCCTCTGTGGATGACAAAGCCACGCGATAAGGCCGTTCAAAGACAATGCATGGATTTCTTCATGCTCGGGGGCCTCAGGGGAATTCAAGAAATATATAACTTTGTAAATTAACAGAAGAAAAAAGAATAAAAACCATGGGCCTAATAAAGATTTAATATGTTCAAAAAAGTATAGAGAGTTGGGAGCTCCGGGGAAACAGCCAGCCCAAACCGTTAGGAACTTAGTGAATCCGAGAGGGGAAGGATTGAAGGCTTTGGTGGGATTTCCAAATTGTTCCCTACTCATGATTCCTCATGGGTCCCCAGCTTGATATATTTATATCCCAGCTTTCTATTTCAAAAGAAGAATTCTGGGACTCTAATACAGAATATTAAACCCCAATTGGTGAGAGCAGGCCTCTTCCGCACCCCACTCCTTCTGCTGAGTGGCTAGCTGCTCATGGAGTGACCAATGCAGCTGGACCAGGCAAACTCATGGAGAGCTGCAGAGTGGTTGATCACTGATGGAGTCATGGAACAGAAAAACATCTGCTGTGCAAAACTGAATGACAAGGAAGATGGATTCTGAACTGTAGTCTGTAGACAAACACTGTCATCTTGCTTCTCTTTCCAGTTCTTTCCCAATAAGGACTTGGCCATGCTGAAGCAGTGTGTGGAAAAGAGAGACCAGCTCCTGCAACAGCAGTATGCAGAACATAAAGTAAGTTCTTTCATGAAGGAGATGTGGCTACAAAGTGGGGAAGCCTTATTTATTTATTTTATTTGGTTTATATCCCACCCTTCCCGCTGAGACAGGCTCAGGGTGGCTCACATAAATACATAAATAATCATAAACATAATATAAATAATTGTTAAAAATCCTCCTAAAACATTAAAACACATTAATAAAACATTGGAACAGAGTTAATAAGCGAGAGTTAGATTATTTATAAAACGGCTTAGGCAACCATTCACACTAGCTCAGTTCTCCAATCAACCCTGACTGTTCCTTGGAAGGCCAGATAATGAAACTAAAGCTCAAATACTTTGGCCACCAAATGAGAAGGGAGCACTCACTAGAGAAGATCCTGATGCTGGGAAAGATTGAAGGTCAAAGAAGACGGGGACGGCAAAGGATGAGATGGTTAGACAGTGTCATAGATGCAACGAACATGAAATTGAGCAAACTTCAGAGGACGGCGGAAGACAGGAAGGCCTGGCGGGAGCTGGTCCATGGGGTCGCGAAGAGTCGGACTCGACTGTGCGACTGAACAACAACAACAAGGTGATAAGCCAAGCACAGGCTGGAATAAGGATGGTAAAGCCAAGGCACAGGGACACTCCTCGGTATATAGTGTGGCTCTTTAATTGAAGGCCTGGTGGAAGAACTCCGTCTTGCAGGCCCTGCAGAACTGTAAAAGGTCCTGCAGGGCCCTGATTCTCCTCCGGGAGCTCATTCCACCAGTATAGAACTGCCACCAAGCAGGCCCTGGATCTGGTAGTCACCAGCCTGGCATCTTTGGGGCCAATTTGGCCGGATCCAGAGATGGTTTTTTCAAGAGGGAACAAACCATGGCCTCCATAAGTGTCTGAGGGAACAAGCCCTCTGAAAGGGACTTGTTAATGATCTCCCTTAGGGCGCCCCGAAACCCATCGCGGCCCGCTTTAATAAGCCATGACAGGCACAGATCAAGGAGGCACGTGATAGGGCATACAGTTAAGAGCAATTTGTCGACTTCCTCTAGGCGGAGTGGACTGAAATAATCCATAACCTGACAAGAAGACATGCGTGGGGCCTCAAGCTCGCTCACTGTTTCAACTGTGGTGGGGAGGTCACGGTGGAGCAACAGGACTTTATCTGCGAAGTAGCTCGCAAAAGCCTCACAGCCAATGTCCAGTTCCCTAGCATTTGACCTGCCTTGTGGCAGAGTTGTCATAGCATAGGCCGAATTGTTCTAAATAATTGGGCTGGGTGTGAGCTCACAGATGCAGTCCAGGCTGCGTAATACTCTTTCTTTGCAGCTTTGACTGCCATCTCATAGGATCTCATAAACGTCCTTCCTCTACATCCCTCATCCAATCATAACAAAGGGGCATTTCACTAGTAATAACTAACTGAAATGCTCAAATTTTGATGCATAGCAGCCAAGGCTTTAGCTTCTGCCTATTTTTCTGGTGTTCCTCAAGCTGAGCTCACGGTTGATCTCACATTTTCCCTCCCAGGAAACATTCAGTAGTGATTCAGTCACTGACTTAATGGGCTCACTCCTGAGAGCCAAGCTGAACATGGAGAATAACAACAGCTATCATTTGCCTGGGACAGAACTGACAGATGACCACCTACTCATGACTGTGGGTGACATCTTTGGGGCTGGTGTCGAGACCACCACTACTGTGCTGAAGTGGACTGTGTTGTATCTTCTGCACTACCCAGAGGTACCTGCTCCTCAAGCCATGCCTAGCTTAGTTTTATTTCTTTTATTTGATTTACATCCCACTTTTCTATTCAAAATCCAGCAAGCAACTTGCATTGTGAGAATGGACAGTCTGAGCCTGATGGAGCTTACACACATAACAAAATGTAAATTCTTCCCTCGGCAGTGTATTCTACCTTGACAGACATAAATACTACCTTTCATTTATCTCTTGGTCATGAGTGCAATGTCTTTTTGCAAGGAACTGCCCTGTTCAGCACATCTCTTGCTCTTTGCTCTTGTTATGTTATACTGTTTCTATAGATACTAAACTTGAGCAATATAGTATATATTATATGATATTTTTCTTCATAATGTGCTGAGCATTCCTTGGCTGTGATAACGCCTTCCCCTCTGCATTCACAATGCATTCTTAGCAGTAATCTTTGGCAAAAACTGATAGCTGTTGCTTCGCTCAAGTGTAATTGGAATAATCATAAGCATCCATCTATTAGTAGCATAGCTTCCCACTGCCACGTAGAGAAAAGTAATAATATATGATACTCCTTTTTTCCAAAGTTTTTGCCTTCCATTCTAGGCAACACTATTTGCTGTGGCAAACATTTCTTTGTACTCAATGTCCACATTAATTGTTAGTTAGCCTAACAAGGGGAATGAGAAAGGGTGCATAGCATCTAGCTAAAGCAACGGGTAAGGCACACACAGTTGTATTGCCTATTCTCTTCCTCACTGCCACAACCATCTGACTAGCCTATATCATTTCTCTCACCAGGTGCAGCAAAAGATCCAAGAGGAACTTGATCAGAAAGTAGGCTTTGATAGATATCCCCAGCTCAGTGACCGCCGGCACTTGCCTTACTTGGAGGCCACCATTAGTGAGGTTTTGCGTATCCGCCCTGTCTCTCCACTTCTCATCCCACATGAAGCACTGGCAGATACAAGGTGAGGGCTGGATCCAAGGGTGAAGTCTGATGCAAAGCCGTGAAGGGGGATAGGACTGATTCTAAATAAGGGTCTGATGGGTTTTGGTGTTTCTGCAGCATCGGAGGGTATGACATCCCTAAAGGAGCTCGAGTTGTTATCAATCTCTGGTCTATTCACCATGATGAGAAAGAATGGGATAAGCCAGGGGAATTTAATCCAGGTAGGTGTAAAATGCTGCCTCCCCAGGTGGCTAGCAGAGATGCTCTTTCACCTGTTGTTCCAGCTGCCATTCCTCTTTGCCCAAGACTGCTTTCTAATCTTCTCTTACTCTCAAGCTTGTGATAGTTGTTATACCTAACCATATTCCCATACTCTTGCCTGATATGTGTTTCTCCTCATTGGTTAGAGCTGCCAAGTGGGGGCGGGTGGCGGGTAAACCCCCACTCCAGAGGCCCGATTTCCGCCGCCGTGGAATCGGGCCCCGGGGGGAACTCCACCCCCCCAAAGCGCAGTGTGGCTGCGCCACCAGAGGTGACGCAACCATGTCAATCACGTTGGGGCGTGGCCCCAATCGTCGGAGGGAAAACTCAATGGTTTTCCCTCCGACAATCGGGGCCACACCTTCAACGTGATCGATGTGACACGTCACTTCCGGTGACGTGCTGGCGGCACGCGCACATTAAAGAACAGCTACTGGAGCCCGGTGAGGCTCCCCCGCTGGTAAGAACATTTCACTTGGCAACCCTATCATTGGTCCCTTGGCAGTAGGGCTGTGCGTAGCCATACCCCAAGGCTGCAGCTTCGAATGGCATTGAAACATCAATAGACGCTCAAGGTGGGGTGTTAAATTCCTGTCCAAATTTTGGAAGGGTGTATTTTTATCCCATATGTCTTCCAAAGAGCTCAGGGTGGTTCTCCCCTTTTCCATTTTATCTTAACGAGCCTGTGGGGTATGTTAGGCTGTGAGATGTGCAGTGTAATCCTAAACAGAGTTTGCCAAGCTGAAATGGCAGGGGAGCATCACTTGCCCCATCAGAGGAGCTCCACATGCGGTGAAGCTTTCATGTGGAATCTTTCCAATAGGGCCCCTGTGTTGTTTCAGCTCTGGAACAAAACTCAGGAAGACAGGAGCCCCTACCCGTGTGTTGTGGTCCTTGGCCAAGTTGGGCCACTGCCCAATGTGTCTTTTGTTGGATATTGTAACTCTGCATGCAAGTGGATCTGGGAGGGAAAGGGTTAAGAGAATTCTCTTGTACACTGAGCAGTTGGCCCCACCCTCTCATGGGTTAGATGTTGAGCCTCCTTGTTCCTTGCTTGCTTTCTGTTTCATCTTATTATGGGACCTCTCTTCTCTCTCCTACTTGGGCTTAGAGCAAGCTAACCTTTTTGAGGTTAATCTGTTCACAAGAAGTTAAATGTACCTATGTGAATATGTCATGTAAGATGTGCTTCTATTTTTGTAAGTAAAATTTCTTTCTGTCGTTACCACTGGAGTCAGATCATCTTTGTAATTTGTTTGAACAGTATTTTCTCCTTAACCAGGAAATGTGGAGGATTGGGGATACTGCATAAAGTTTCTGTGCTTCGAAGTCAAATGACTTTTTTTACATTTAACCCAGTATCTTTGAGCCTCCGTGGCGGACTCATGGAAGCCATAATGTCTGGTTCTGCTCTCAGTGGGGATTTGAACTGAGTTTTTCCTGTCATAATCCAACACTCTGACCAGGAGACAACTTTGTCTCTATGTAGATTTCCCAGCCAGTTTTCACTATGATTTCATTCTGGAGTTTGATGTATTAATAATTATTATCATATGGCATTGTGTGTAGTATAGCCAGGAATTCCTAAGATTGTCTGGCATCCAGAAGTTCTAGCTCTTTTAGCGTTATGCACCACTAGGTGGCAAGCTAGACTTGTTTTTGAGGCAAGAGACGTTTCAGAGGTAGTTTGCCATTGCCTGCCTCTGCATCCATGACCCTGGTATTCCTTGGAAGTCGCCCATCCAAATACTAGCCAAGGCCGACCCTGCTTAACTTCCGAGATCTGACAAGATTGGGCTAGCCTGGGCCATCCAGGCCAGGGTGGAGTTTGATGTGTTTCCTAGGGAAATGTTAAATAAAAACATATCTGTACTACCCCAGGTCGTTTTCTGGATGAACAAGGGAACAGACTCTACTCTCCTTCACCTAGCTACCTACCATTTGGAGCTGGCATCCGAGTCTGCGTGGGAGAAACACTGGCCAAGATGGAGCTTTTCCTCTTTCTGTCTTGGAGCTTGCAAAGATTCACATTCAGTGTTCCTGAAGGCGAAATGCTTCCTGCCCCAGAGGGAAAATTTGGGGTTGTACTTCAAGTACCAAAGTTCAAGGTGAAAGCCACACTACGGGAAGGTTGGCAGGGTCTGGTAATAGAGCAGTGATGTTACTTTGGACTAGATCAGCTGCCTTAAAGGAAGAGCTGTTTGGACTGTCGTTCATAGGACTAAAACAGAAAGGACATTACTGTTAATTTTGCTGTTGACAACAATAGCTGTAGACCCTGCCTTCTCTCTTCCAGATTCCTGGAGAACTAATCTGGGATGCAGGATTTTGTGTGGTAAAGCAATGGCAAACCCAAGGTGTCAGCAACAAAGACATTCAGGCTCATATGGACCCTAGCCCAGGACCCTCAGCTATGTGAACTAAAAAGTAAGGTTGTGATTTAGCATGTTTTTGGCAAAATTAGCAAAACATCACAGCCTCTTTTTTCTGAACATCCATATTATGAATGATGAGCATCAATCTAGTGTCTCCTCAAAAGAAAGACCATGTCATAAGTAATATGTGGTTATTAACAAAATGCAGAAATGGATGAGAAGACAGTGGCCTCTAAGATGCCTGGTACCAACAAAATGCTACCACTTAGATGCAACCCATTTTTGTTCTAGTATTGTCTGTAGGAGGAGACAAAGTACTAACTGTACCGAGTGTACAGTACTAACTGTACTGAGTAACTAGGATAGATGTATGCAGTTGTCAGAAAAAAAGCTGTTTTCTATGGAAGATAGAAGTGTTGGAGGTGGAAAGGTGAAAGAACTTATAAAGGGACTGCTTTAAGACACATACAAAAAACTCACCCTAAAGACCAGGTGTAATTAGGGCGGAAATAGGGATGTTGGTTTACTTCCATCACTGAGGGCTGTGCATTAAAGCCCTTGCTTTAATTGATTAAACTTGTTGGTGGTCTTAAAGTATGTGCCACAACGCTGTCATGGCTTCACTAAAAACTGATAACACACCAATTCTAAATTTGCTAGATATTGCTCACAAACATTCTTATTGGATGTGCTTACTTTGCTCCTACAGCCCCTACTATTTCCCCCCATCCACCTCCCTCCTTTCTTTTAGTGATCAGAGTAGACTGGCAGCTGTCCTTGAGCTTTCATTGAAATAGGCCTGTAGTCAGACATACAAAGTTGTTTGAACCTTACACTGGGGGATCCTGTGTTCACCTAGCGGGAGACACATTATATTAAAAGGAAAGTTGAAAAACATGTAGTTTATTTTTCTGAAAATGATATTAGCTATAGAAACACTGGTGATTTAGGCAGCTAAATGTTTTACCGGAGCAACCATTTATTGAATCCAGAGGATTGCACTTTTCATGTGCCCAGTAATGAAGAAAACTCTGGCTGTATCTATATGGTGAGTTTCTTGTTTTTTTAATGTTCTGTGGTTATATTACATTGCAAGATGACCCGTAACTACTCAAGAGTTATAATTCTCTTCATCAGTTACCCTCCATTAAACTATGACCCAAATATTCTTCTGTAAACTGACTCAGATTCCTCCCCGGAGTGGAGCACATATGGCTAGATGGGGAATAACGAAAAAGAAGAGTAGAAGAGTTGGTTTTATACCCTGCTCTTCACTACCTGAAGGAGTCTTGGAGAGGCTTACGATTGCCTCCCCTTCCTCTCCCCACAACAGGCACTTTGTGAGGTAGGTGGGGCTGAGAGAGTTCTGAGAGAGCTGTGACTGTCCCAAGGTCACCCAGCTGGCTTCATGTGGAGGAGGAGTGGGGAACCAAACCCAGTTCTCCAGATTAGAGTCCTGCCTCTTAACCACTGTACCAAGGACACACGACAAGAGCAGGCAAGAAGGAAGAATAAAGGATAGTAAAGAGGGAAACTGTGAAAAGCAGATTCAAAGAGACAACCTAAAAGGGGAAGGCAAATAATGGAGAGATAATTGTAACTTTGTCCTCAGTAAATCAGGTAAAATGAAGTACGTGTACAATGCATTAATTCTCTTTTTTAAACAATATTGACCAAGCACAGCATTCTTGTATGCTCAGTTATATGTATCCATTATTAAGACATGGATATTATGCACACCTTTCTGCATCTTTATAATACTACATGGTGTGAAGGATAGTTTGTTTAGAAATTCCCTCCATGATTGTATCTTTTTGTTGTATCAAATGAATATTTTTTAAAAATCATAATTTATACCTGCATTATACCAGAGTCTGGTGCATTTCCAGTCCAGATCAGTCTGTCTTTCTTGCAAGCTAGATGTTGTCAGAGTGTTATGAAAGACTCTGACAGAGCTCACTCAACATAGTTGTTTGAACTATAGTTTGTTCTAATTAAACCAGACTTCGCTTTAAAACCATCTCTGCATTTTCCTGCATCTATGAAAATCTTACAAAGGACGCTTTCGCTTGATATATTTGAGAAGAGCCACATAGAAGGGATAAAGAGGAAGTGTTACCTGTCTTTTACTGGACTAATCAGCCATTGGAAGACGTTATCCCCATAATGGAGACATATAAAAGTGCCGGCAGCAATTGCGATGATGGAGAAATATGTGGTTGATCTGTATTTGAATCTGTAGCTATATTGCTTGACTTACTGCGTATCATTCAGAAAGTTATGCAGAATCTGACTTCTTTTGAAAGACAGGTCTGGAACCATCCTAATTTACTGAACTGTTGTGAAGCTGGATGAACTAAGAGTGTAATATAACAGTGGAATCCTTGCTGTATATGGCAACAGACTTACTGTCCACTGAAATCAATGGGCTCTAAAGCCGTAACTCTGTTTAGGATTGCACTGTAAGAATGGTATATTAAATATGTGTGTCATATTATATTATGGCCTTTGGTCACTGAGTTTAAAGCACTAACAAGTTGCACCCTTTACCTCCTTCCATGTCTTCAAAGTTCAGTGGGATGTATCCAAAGGGGCTTCTGATTTTGATGGCGGAGGAGAGAATTGATTGCAGCCATCTTTTCAGAATCTTAAAGTGTTACTGTGCAATCCTAAAAAGACTTGCATCCTTCTAAGTCTATTGGACTCATTGTGCTTAGGAGGGTTAACTCTACTTAGGATGGCACTCCAAGTTACTCCTTCAGCATTGTGGGTAAGATTAGATGCTAACAACAGCAGTCAGTCTGTTACTGTATTCAACAAGGGGTCTAAAGGGGGAGGGACTTTATATGCAAAAAAGAGATGTCATGTTTATATATGAGTAGACATATTTTGCATTTAGATTTTAATAAACCTTTCCCAATAGATATTTAATTTTAAAACAAATTAATATGTTAATAAAGTGCATCAATGTGGTACTTATCTGAGTGGATCTTTCCTGGTTCCTCTGTTTGCTAGAATAGTGGCTTTTTCACTCATGTTCCTGGCTCCTGAGAGAGTTTGCATTCTATAATCCATTACTGATGTATATGCACATTCCATTAGTGTTGTTTTACATGTATGATCTACAGGTATTTGACATTTTGTTTTACATGTATGATTTTGTTTTACATGTATGATCTACAGGTATTTGACATTTTGGAAGAATTAAAGCACTTCCTTGGCAAATAATGTCGCTTTTTACTAGAGTAAAGAGTGTATGCACTTGCTCTGGCCATAAAAGCACAAAGTACAAGGTGCACGTCTGCAGTCAGGCTTGGGATTTTTCCCATTACGGACATTCTTAACAACAAGGTGGCAAAAGAATGGATGGCAGGTTGCATCAGCATAAGACATGTTGAAAGAGAACAGTGAGCTCCCATCTCTAGTTCCAGCTCCTGCCAACCTAGCAGTTCGAAAGCAAGAAATTGCAAGTAGATAAATAGGTACCACTTCAGTGGGAAGGTAACAGCGTTCCGTGCGCCTTGGTTTTTAGTCATGCCGGCCACATGACCACGGAAACGTCTTCGGACAGCGCTGGCTCTTCGGCTTTGAAACGGAGATGAGCACCGCAACCCTAGAGTCGGATTCGACTGGCTTTCGAGCAAGGGAACCTTTACCTTTTAAACTTATTATAAATATCTGTTTAAAAGCCAACAACTTGATTTCTATATTTTTACTAGTACAGATTTTACTAGCACAGGTTTTTATCACTCCCAGGGGTCAACTAGATGAGTGAGGACACCATGGGGAAGGGAATGCAATTTGGACCAGGGACGCAGGACTGGATGGGTAGGTAGGGGTTAACCTCCTCCCACCAGAGCAGTTTCCTATATCAAAGTAATTGCCTCCACTTGAGCAGCAATTTGACCTAAGGGGGGGGGGGCAGATTGTATCCCCACCTGGCCACACAGCGGAGCTAATAGCCACCCAGGGGTACCATTTTTGAATGGGTGAGCTGAAGTCGATGGGAGTTTACAGAATGCTGGAGGGCAAAGTGTTCACCCCTCCTGCAATTCCTGGCAAGTCTGCAGCTTGTACTAACTAGTGCTGCCCCAACTTTGAAGGTTGATGTTTGGGAAGGAAGAAGGGAAGAGTGTTCATAAAAATCAGACCTCCTACCTTTCCCTCTTGCACATATTTCACACCTGTCCACGGGCATTGTTCCCCATATGTTGCTTGATTACCTTTCCCCCCTTCTTCCTGTGTGATCTATTGGAGGACAAGCCAAAGCTTTGCCATTTTGAGTCTGTTGCAGGCTTTAGCCCTGGCAAAGTCCAAATATGGAGGGACTAGTCAATACATCTAAAAGAGTTTCCAAGCCGCAAGAGGTTAGCTCATTCTGTTTTCACCCACATCCCTCCTAACAAGACCACACCTGATTCCAGGTTTTACATGCTGGCCATACATTTCCCCTAGATGTGTTTCACCTTTAATCGTAAGGGCCAGAGGTGTGAGTACTAAGGGACTCACAAGTTGGTTAGTCACCACAGGAGGACTTAGAAACTGAAAATCACACAACCATATATGGAATTAGATTAAGATTTGTTATAATTGTGTACTAAATAAGAATAAAAGATCTTTGACTCGGAGACACAAGCTACAATCTCTTGTCATGAGGGGTCTGTGGCAGGAGGGTGCCTGACAGACCAACTTGGGGGGAGGGGAAGGAATCAGCAGGGAAACCACTGCTGCAACCCCAGAGGAAAACTCGCTGGTGGGATGGGAACCTGTATATGCAGAAGAAC